CAGAAAACCGCCACCCCCGCCAAAAACACCGACGATCGAACAGGCAGAGTAACTACCGCCCGGCCGCCGCTGGCTCCAGTCCGCCGCCATTATTCTTTATTCGCAGCGAACGGCGGCGAGGTTGTGGGGCTCGGGACGGAGACTCCATCTTTGCCGCGGCCCCTCCTGCGAGGAGGAAAGGCCCGGAGCGCGAGGTGTCCGGCGCCTCCCCGTCCCCCCTCGGTCCCCCCGGCTCTCTCGGGCTCCTGCCTCCTCCTCCTGCTCCTCTTACCGGTGGTACAAGCTCCTCCGTCACTGCTTTCGTTCGCGGCCCGGATCTCGCTGGAGTTTTATTCTCTCCCCCACGTAACACACCGCGTCAAACTACACCTCCGCCGCGTCACTCACCAACACTCCGCTTCTCCCAGCCGCCCGGGCCACAGGCAGCAGCAGCCGCCGCGGACTGAGGAGCCGCAGCCAGGGAGCCAGCCAGCGCCGCCCAGTGCCGAGTGCGCAGCGGCCGCGCACGGAAACAGCCGAGTCCGCCCGGAGGAGCTCGAGCGGCCCCGCCCCCCCGCGCTGGAGGCGGAACTTGCCGAAGCTCTTCGGTTTCCTTCGGGCGAGGCGCAGGGGTTCTCCCGGGAGTGGGAAGGCGAAGGTGGGCTGGGACCCGCGTGGGCGGGGAGGAGTGATCTAAGCCCCATCGTTTTGGCGGCTAAAACCCGGCGGCGGCGGAAACCTGAAGGAGGAAGTGGGGCTGGTGTGTGGCCGGCTGGGGAAATCCAGGGGGGTGTGGACGACTGCATGGAAACTCCCGCGCGGGTCGGGCCCGGCGGCGGTAAGCGGCGAGCTCTAGGGCGGCTGCGGGCGGCCTCGGCCCGGGAACTTTCAAACGCTGCGGGGACGCGGGAGACGCGCCGCTGGGTCTGGACCGCAGCCGAGTGCGGGAGGAAGGCAGCTGCAAACGCCCCCAAGGCCCGCGGCAGGGCCGGGCTGGGACGCCGTGCCGCGGTGCCGCCTCGGCGCGGCTCGGGAGCCCCCGCGGGGAGGGTTTTCCGCCTCCCCGGGCGGGCCGGGCAGCCCGGCTCCGAGAACCAGCTGAGAAAGCGGGCGGCCGCCGGCCGGACTGTTCTGTTTCGGGGCTGGGGCGGCTCTGGGACCTGTGGCACCTCGCGGGGTTCAGCCCGGCTGCGTGCGCAGCCAGGGTCATCCAGGGCCTCTGAGCAATGACCTGCCCTGCCCCAGGTTGCTCTTCCACAATTTTTCGAAATGTCTTCTCCTTTCCCCTCCCCTACCTGCCCGCCTTTTTTTTTTTTTTTTTTCTTTTTCTTTTTTTCTGGCACCTTCCAGTGTCGCTCTCTTTTCGCAGCCGGTGTTTTACCCCCGTGGTTTGCACCCACTGCACCCTTTCCTTCACCGCCCTCCCACTCTAAACCCTCCCGCGTGACTTCCGTTGCCTCAAAGCTACTGAAATTGCGCTTTCAGAGGTCACCCACGGCCACGATATTGATTTCTCGTTCTCCTCTGTATTGAACTCTGCAGTCCTCTTTCATAATCGTCTTTCTGCCCTTTGAGAAGCAAACCTGTCTTAGGAAGCAGACCGAGATGGTACAAGGCTGAGCTCCGCCCCTTATTGGCTTCCTGTAAGAAACAGTTGCCCTTCTTGGTTCTCGTGATCGATCACCTGCTGCTTTCTCAGGGACTTGGGCCAAAGAATAGCCACCTTTCCTTCTGTTATTCAACCTTTGCTAGTCTACCGGCTTCCCCGCCTAGTATATCAATGTGCCGGCCTGGCTGAGTGGTTTAGCATCGACCTATGAACCAGAAGGTCATGGGTTCGATTCCTGGTCAAGGCACATGCCCTGGTTGTAGGCTCCATCCCCAGTGTGGGGCATGTTGGAGGTAGCCAATGGATGATTCTCTCTCATCATTGGTGTTTCTCTGTGTGTCTCTCTGTCCCTTTCTGAAATCAGTAAAAATATATTTAAAAAATAAATCAATAAACATGCTTAAGTCTCTCATTTCTTTAAAAAGATATATGCATAACCATGTACACAGACTATGGGGTGGTGAGGGCCTTGGGGGGGGCAGGGGCAGGAGGGGGCTGGAAGAGATTAATGGGGGGGAAAGGAGGACCTATGTAATAGTTTCAACAATGATTTATTTTTAAATAAATAAGATTTCTCTCCCTTAAATCCCCTCTCCAACGGGTGATTCCAATGGTCTCTTTACCCTGTGGACATGCTCTCATGTCCCACTACTCAACCCTTTCCTGTCTAGCTTCTATTCTAATCATTCACCGGAAGCAGCTCTAATCTGTCACAGGGGAGCTTCAGTCATCCTATTACAAGGCTTGATTCTAGCGTTTGGCACTACTGCCCACACCTTCAACCAAGTATGCTCTTCCCTCTGCTTCTCCTCCTTTATCCAACTCTCAAATCTGAGTTCTCTTCCTGAGTCCCACCCTATGTACTCTCTCAGGTGACCTCATCCTCTTCCAGGAGCCTCACATACCGTCTGCCAAAGACTGTCCATCCCGTAACGCAAATCTAGACCTTGCTCTTGAACTCTAGATTCATAGTTCTAACTGCCATTGCTACAGTTTCATTTGGATGACTGGGGCATGTCAAACTCAACCTGTATATTACAGTCCCTCCAAAACCTTCCTCCCTTAGCCCTGAGATCAGAAAAGGGCATCCTGTTCATCTGTTGAGTTCAAGCCAGAAACCTAGCATGTCTCTGACACACATCAGAATCACATAGACCCCTGTGCCTTAAAAAATGGGATTGTGGCCACTTTTCCACACCCTGCTCCAGTCTAGCCACCTACATCTCTTGCTTGAAGTGCTGCACATAACTACCATCCAGGTCCTACAAAACTGTTCTCTCCAATTCAGTTGCCATACTGCAGCCACAGTCATTTTAAAAATACAAATCTGATCAAGTCACTGCCCTGCTTGAATTCCTTCAGTGGCTTCCCTTTGCCTACTGAACACAGTCTAAGCTCCTTATCATGGAGACCAGGCCCTCCACCATCTGGGCTTGTCATTCTCTCCAGCCGCCCTATCGCTCTACACTCCAGCCATATTAATCTTTTTTCTTTCTTTTTTCTAGGCTCTTCTCTCTCTCTCTCTCTCTCTCTCTCTCTCTCTCTCTCTCTCTCTCTCTCTCTCTCTTTTCCCTACTGTAGGCTCTCACCTCAAGTTATTGACACACACCATTCCCCTCCCCTGGAATTCTGTCACCCACTCCTCCTACCTAATTGCAAAAACATTTTCTTTTCTGATATATCATATTGTAATTATTTGTTTAATGCCCATGTAAGGTCTTGTGTAGGTGGGGACCATGTCTGTCTTATTTACCTCCAGCTTTTCCCTTCCTTCCCTAGCACCAGCACAATGTCTAGAATGCAGTGGTACTCATTTAATCATCCAGGCATTCAAGTACAATTGATCTTATTAAACATTTTGGATATACTTCAGATTTGAAACTAGTCCCCCAATTTCATATATTCTACTCTAGCATCTTGTAAACCATAGAAATGAACTAGAAATGTCAAACTTTTAGCATCTTTTGTCTCTGGGACTTAGAAATTACCTTAGTTTTTGACTCCGTTTTTCAATTGAAAGATATGGTCAATATTGAGGAGATGAAAGTAGAGAAGAGCACATGGATATAACTTGACATAGTATAAGAGTAAGTGCCTGGAGAGGTCCAGAAAAGGCGGAGGTCTCATGAGATGATTATAAAAGGCTTCAAGGATAAAGTGATATTTGAGAACTTTCCTCTCACCATGGCTTCCTTTTCCTGTTATTTTTCTCTCTTGCTTCTACTGTTGAACCTAATGTTCACTCTCGCTACAATCTCAAGTTCCCCAAAAAAGTGCTCTGGTGCATCACCTCTCATGACTCAGTTTTCTTTTCTTCTAACCCCAAGGCCATGGTGACC